ATACTGACTTTAACCTTCCATTTTGAACTCCCTTCTTGCCACTAAACTTAACTACACTTGCTCAAATCATTTTATATTAATATAAAACATCATTATCTTCAGTATCTTATCCAAATTCTTGAAACCAAGAATCTTGCTAAATTTTCAACATGTTCTAAACTCATTTCTAACACTTAATACTTCTTATTCTAACTGATGAAAGTTAATTCCAACTTTAGAATCCATTTATTTCCTATTATTCACAATTTCACTTAGAAACCTCTTATATTCAATCTCTCCTAACTCATCCATCTTTTGGTTTTTAGACATCTTAAGCATTTATTAAGCTTATATATTACCTAAATAAAATAAACCAAGCTTGAATTTACTAAATAGTCAACTAACATAAACTCACCTTTTCTATATGGAGTACACGGCTGAAAGAGGAAGAAGAATGAAGATATTTCTGGACACTTGGTTTTTAGCTTTCCACCTTCTCCACGTGTGTTTAACATACCCATTACAAATTTTTAATTCATTTATTTGCCAAATGACCACTTTACCATTCCATTCCTCCTTTGCTATTTAATCCTATAAAGATATTTCAATTAAGTCCCTAAATATTTAATTTATTCTAATTTGATCATAAACTTTTAAAGTATTTCAAATTGGTCACTATCCCGGTGGTTGGGATGTTACAATGCGGCAGCGGTAGCTACACATCTGTCGCAGCTTAGGGGTAGAGAAAGGTGGTATATCTATGGCTTAAAAGAATAATGAAGAAAAAGAATGAGGAGGAGATTAACGGGGATGACCAAAATGCAAGCACCATAAAAGTTTGGAGGCTATTTATATATTTTACTATTAAAAATATGACAGGTGGCATTAATGGGTTAATGGCCAAACTTAATGGTCTGTCACAGTAGACCCATTTTGAGTCACGGAATGAAATGTTAGGCACCAATCTGGAACGAAATAAACGTTAGACACTAAACTAAAAAAACGGGCATACTGATCATATGAATATTTTATCTGATTTCTGTTCTGATTTTTTGTCTGAATTCTGTTATGATTTCTGCTCTGAATTTTGTTATGATTTCTTCTCTAATTTCTGTTCTAATTTTTGATATATCTGTTATTGAAGGAAAATGTTTTCTTCGGGGTATTCTGGGTTCTGGTATGAAGACTCTGGTAGGTTCAGTCGATGTTGGTAATTCCTCGAATAGTTCAGCACCGACTGGTAATTCCTTATGGACCTAAGTCGAGCCTTGGGTAGGCTCTGCGGCCCTGATATTTTCTTGGGTAAGCCTTTATGGCCCCTGGAATTGTCTTGGGTAGGCTAGCAGGCCCCAAGGTACTCCTTTAGGTTATGCAGTTCTGGGGAACTGTACATGGCGTTCGGTTGGAGGACGATACGGAGTTTTTAAATTAAAAACTCCTATGATGTTTTAATGATTGTGATCTCTACTGATTTTAAAAAGCATGTATGTTTTAAATGTTTTGCGGGAACACACTAGATAACCTATTCTGATCTCCTGAACCCAGTCATCCGAAATATTTCCCTCTAAATTGAAAGCTTACTTTATGTTATTACCTGAGATATCAGTGAGACCCCAACTCAGCCTAAAAATTTGTAGATGTCTGAATCAATAAGAAAGTATATGGTTATCTATTATCTGCACGTTCTTCAGCATCATCTGGTAGTTCTGTATTACTGAGATTTCTAAAGCTCACCCTGTTACTCACCATTTTCAGGTTAAAAAGGATTGAACCAGTACATATATCGACTTCAGTAAGGGAGTTCTTCCAGCGTTGCTTGCAGAGTATGGTACATGTGATTAGGGGCATGTAGATTGTATTTTTTTGTATATGAGTCTGAAAATCGGTTTTATCTCTACATACTAATAAATCATTTTATGAGTTACATGTTTTAATAAAAGTTTTAAATTTTCTGAGATTTTTACAGTGAGTCGCTCCGGTAGCCCTAATGTGACACCCTAGATCGGATCGGGTTAACCACATCGGTCTGAGGGGGTTACAGATTTTACATGATTAATGGAATAATTGTAAAATTAATAATGAAATGTTTTATAATGACAAAATTTTAAACATTTATGATCAATGAATGTTTGTAGAGTTGATGTGACATCTGTAGGTCGTATTTTGAGACTCATACAAACTATGGGTGTTACATAACTTCTTTTACATATACTAAATTTTATCATATCTATTATGTGGGTGAAAGAAATATTATAAATATATATATTTTTAAGTTTTATTTAATAATGAATAATGATTATAGGATAAGAGAATTATATATGAATTTATAAGTTATGAGTTTAAATCTTTACAAGGATGATTTTAAACTATTTTATTTAAAATTTATTTAAAATATAAAAAAGATAAAAATAGTCTTATAATAATATTAATTATTATTTTTCAATTGAATTAATACTTGATTAATCGATGATACCAACTTAATCACAAATATAGTATAGATATATATTATTTGTATAAAAATAAAAAACATATATATGATACATGATTTTACATAATGTTTTAGAATTTAAGTTTAATTTTTTATAATAATTAATATTATTTAAAAAAATAATTCAATTTATATTATTATAATATAAAAGTTATATACTAAAGAAGTTATAATAAAATACTTATATGTTATACACACACTTTAAAAGTTATATATATTTTTTACAATTATATTATAATATTCAAACACTTTTTATTTATTATATTTTCATGTAATTAAATTATTTGATTTAGAGATAAAAATAATCTATATTAGTGGCTAAGGATGTAAATGATTTAAACGTTTGATGAATTATCCACAAATTTTTGAACAACATTTGTTATGCTCATTGGATCTCTGTTGTTCTTAACAAAGATGGCTATTTATTTAAGTCTTCGGGTAGCACCACTAGATCTTCAACAAGGTGGAAATTCTCGTATTCTGTATGTACATGTTCCTGCGGCTAGGATGAGTATTTTGTTTATATCGCTACGGCTATAAACACTTTTGTATTCTTATTAACAAAGCATCCTCTTTTTCTTCCCTCTTCCGGAACCAGTATAGAAATTGGTGCTTTTTTTACGTTGTTTACCTTAGTTACTGGGGGGTTTTCGGGGAAGACCTATGTGGGGCGCCTTTTGGGTGTGGGATGCTCGTTTAACCTTAGTATTCATCTCGTTCCTTATTTACCTGGGTGCACTGCGTTTTCAAAAGCTTCCTGTCAAACCGCCTTCTATTTCAATCTGTGTTGGACCGACCGATTTACCAATAATCAAGTCTTCAGTCAACTGGTGGAATACATCCCATCAACCTGAGAGCATTAGTCCGACCGCCCTGCCTAATGCTAGTTAACAACGATGAAAGTCTCTCCTTCATTTGCCTACGAATTTCTTCGGATCGAAGATCATTTAAATCTTAGACTTCCCCCTCAATAAAATCGAAAGATTCCTTTCGAAAGTTGTCATATTGGGAGAGCTGGACAATGCGGTCGATATTGTCCTCCGAAATCATAAACGAAAATAGCCTTTCTTGCAATAATGCTTTCCACCCCAAAATTTGTAGTTCTCTATATTTCATGTCCATGGCTGAGCGTAGGTGATCAACAGTGATCGCTTCATCAAAATGCTCTCGACAATGGACTCATATTCTCCGGGACGGGTTTGTGGCGGAATGTTATAATAGTTCCCATTCTCCAGAGCACGGATTCTAGAGAATATACTCTGCTCGTAATCTGCTTCATAAATAGCCTGGACTTGGATACATTCACTTTCTGCCCTGACAACGAGCAGAACCGTTCTAAAAATCATATACTCATTTGACCTCAAGTCTGCTATCGATAGGGCTTGGCTTGGGTTACAGAGTGCGTTGATAGCGCAGCTCTTTGAGAATTCCTTGTCGGCATTTGTATGTATCGCTTTCAGGTCCTATCCATTCAGGGCTCCTTTCTTGAAGAAGATACCTCAAGTTAAGTCCTTAACTAGTAGGGCAGCCTTTGTTTGGTTTGGGTTATTACTTTACTCCTCTTGGCCTATCTTCACTCTTACTCACCATTGATTGGTGAGGCGTGTTCGGTATCTTTATGTTCACGAATAAACTCATTTAAAAAATTGTTTATTGATTTGGTTTATAAGTTGGTGTATCAATTTCTCTATAAGCTCGTTTATCCATTCATTTATATGTTTTTTCGATTCTTTTATAAGCTCGTTTATCGACCTGTTTATAAGACCATTTACTCGGTTTTCTTTTTTCTTTTATTTTTATATTTTAACATAAGGTGAACTTTGGAATTTAAGAGAATTAAAGTTACTGGTGTACTTTTTCCAATTTTCTTTGGCTTGCAAATAAAAGGATAAAAAAGTGTCCATTGTCAGACATTAAACGAATATATTTACGAAAGTTAAATAAATATATTCATGAACGTTAAATGAACGAACAAAAACACTTTTAAAATAAATAAATAAACGAACATAAATATTATATTAAAAATTTAAATAAATACAAATTAAATATAAACGAATTCAAAAATAAAATAAATAAATGAACACAAATATATATATATATATATATATATATTTCTCTCGTTAAAGCTATATTCATTTACAACGTTATTAGTGGCCACAATAACCGACTTCATTCCTAGTTAATCAGAGTCGTGTGAACCGGTTGATCCATGGACAAGACTGGATGGCGGTTAAAAGTAAAACCGTTTAATAACCGGGCATAGTCTTCCTTCCTCCCTCGCCGTTATTTGAAAATCTCTGGGTGGCCGTTGAAATCGCGCCTTCACACATAACAGCAAGGGGGCCTTAAGATCCATTTTTGAAATTTAACCCAATGGCACAACTTGAGTAATTTATTCACGTTACCCGCGGGTGAGCCACTCAGCATTGCAAATGACAAATTGAGTTCTCCCGTTTTTTTTCCCTTTTGCAGTTCGTGGTTCGTTTTTATATAAGATACTTGGTTTTCTCAATCGGTCAAATCCATCTGTTTGGTTGTATCCATTGATCTCCGAAATCCAACTTTTGGATCTTAAATTTCAGCTTCTTAGATTTTCTAATACAATTCCATTTCATTCCAAATAAGCGCTAATTGACTGGGTTGATTTAATTGCAGCATTTGATTTGATTGGATCTGATTTCAGCTCTCTACGCCTGTTTCGACCTTGTACGCAATAATGAATCCTTTCTCGTCTGGTACTCGTCTGCGGTGAGCACCGATTCCTTGTGTTAACCATTTCTTGTTTTAGTTCTTCCTTTCCCTTCTAATTTGAAAATTCGATAAAAAAACACGGGGTTTCTTAATAGAATGGATGTTTTTATAATGGAAAAAGCATCGTTTTCTTCCTAATTGCGGATGCTTTTTATTGGCATGACTGCAATTTGGGAGTTCGACATTATTCTGGCTGTACAACTTAAAATGATGATTGCGTTTGAATTTTAGATCCAAAGCGGAGATTGTTTGCTTTTCTGGTTTCATAATTTGGCACTTCTAGTTACTTTTTCCCTTCGTTTTTTACGTGCTTGAATTAGTTGCATGCAACTAGGATGCAAATTTAGAAATTCATTGCGTACGCATTAATTGGTTTGAGAGTAGCTTAATCTACCGTTTTTATGAATATTTAAAATATGAAATGATGCGCCAAATAGCACTAGTGTCAGAGGGTACCATTTCTAGAGAGGAGACCCAAATGGTACCACCAGGCACCAGTTCAGTACTGAAACCTTACTTTCTCTACTACTGCATTATAGATATACAAGTTATGTAGCATGTTTTGGAACATAGATATTGCATCAAACACTTAAATGCTGATTAACTAGCGGCAATAATTTGAGGAGTGGCATATATAACATACAGTCCAAGGCATGTCATGTACTCAGGTGTCCCTTTCAATATGGTTACCAAAGACAATTCAAATAGCCTGATTACATGGCTGTAGTACCTGTAATTCTTGTAGCTATATGTTCAAAATGATTTTAGAACTTCTCACACTTTTAGTAAACAATTCTAAATTAATTTCCTTTTCCTATGCGAGACTGCTTGGTGACTGTTGAAGGTTCTCGTGCCTATGGCAATGGAATTAAATAGTTGTATTCGGCCCTATATAGATTTAGGTTGATTAACAAATTTTGAGATAAGCAACAGAATATGGTTTAAATGATAACCTCTTGATTTGCCATGGGTGAGTTCTCTGTTTTTTGAATTAGTTACTACTTTTTATCCATATTTTATTAGTGTGGTCTCAATCTCCTTGTCTTTAACCATCAGATAACTTTCTTTTGAGGTGCTTCTTCTATGGATGATCAGTTTCGGGTGCTGCTTTTAAGGAATATTTGCTCCTCTCTCTTAAGCATCAGTGAATACTTCTATTCCACTATACTGTTTACAAGAACTGATTATATACAATGGAGAAAGGTATCTCTTAGCTTAATGTAATATTTTGTGGAAATAGAAAAAAAGACAATGGATTTCACATCCTACATTAACTGCTTGGTTGTCCTTTACTGTAGCCTAGAGTTTCTATATTTATATGCAAGTTCCTATTTCCTATTCCAGCAATGACCCCTGAGAAGGTTGTCCATGAGTAGGGCTTGTGAGCCACATGTAATGGAGAGCAGTGTTAAGGCGTGCTCCTAGATGCACCTCGGCCTTGCACCTTAGAGCTAAGCACCAAAGGCTCCTCAAACCCTCTCAAGCAAGCACATTCCTAGTGCGCCTTGGCATGCTCTTTTCATAAGGCGACAAGCATAAAAAAAATGCAACTTGATTGAAGTTCCCTTTAGTTTCTTTTATTTCTAGTTTTTTTTCCAATAGATGTACCTTTACTAGTAAGAAAGGGTATCAACAATAAATGGAACAGAAAGAAATAATGCATGTTGGCCACCAAAAAAAGTACTTGTTTTGTAAGTAAAATATGCCATTCTTTAGGGTTTATTGTATAATCATACATCTTAAGCTTATTATACACACATACACACATACACACAAACATATTGCACCTTATTTCACTCTAGAAAGCACTTCTTTTCCACCTTGTGCAGGAGGTATTAGGCAATATAAGGGTTCTAGCCTCTATAATGCTTGAAACGGATTATTAAGTTAGGTTATTTTGCATCTGTTAAGTATGAAGTTTTTTACAGTCTTATATTAAAGTTTGGGCCCCTCCATTTATTGCCAAATGGATATAGATTGAATGCTTAACATGCTACCAGAGGCCAAGTGTGTTCCATTCTTCCTACCTAACCCGAGTAGGTTGACGACCCTTGATGAGGTTGTCCACATATAGGCCTTGTAAGTTACACATGAATGAGGAGTATCAAGTGGTGTTGCTCCCTATATGTTAAATGCTTGTTTAATGTGATCTTATATTTGAGTTGGGTCCTTTCAGTAATTGCCAGTATCAAAGTTATCCCATATCTTTTAGATATTTGGCAAAGCAACCAACTTAAGCCAATTAGCAATAAGTGGAAAGCCCAAATTTTATACATGAAAAAACTAAACTTAACCAATGGGGAGTGATGTCACCTAACACTCTCATCACTCATCACGTTTTGGATTCTATAACATGGTATTAGAGCACTTAACACTCGCATCACGTTTTGTATTCTATAATATGGTATTTGACCCTACATTCAGTTCTGTTGTTCTTCTTGCCTAACTCTACGTGATGTGGATGACCCCAATTGAGGTTGTCCATGTGTATACCATATGAGCAAAATGTGAGAGAATGTAAAGTGTTGTTACTCTACATCTATTAGTCTTATATTGGAAGTTTAGCCCTCCACCTATTGGCAATTAATTTTAGGTTTGAGGTTTTTATAGTTTGAGAAGTTTATTCTCAATTAGGAGCTATGGATGGTTTTTAAGAATAATTTTTCCTTTTCTTAAATGATATATCAGTGGGTGGGAATTCATTTTTTTGTTAAATGAATTAATTGATGATAGACATATATTTTGTGTATTTTTTGTCCTTGGTAATATTCTATAATCCAAATTCATGACTATATTATAGTTTATGTGGATATTAATTGGAAATCGTCAAAATCATTACTCCAATGTAGGTACATGATACGGGCCATACGTGCATGCAAAACTGCAGTTGAAGAACGTGCTGTTGTAAGAAAAGAGTGCGCTGCTATTCGAGCTGCAATTAATGAGAATGATCAAGATTATAGGAACCGTAACCTAGCAAAGCTTATGTTCATTCACATGCTTGGGTATCCCACTCATTTTGGTCAAATGGAATGCCTAAAGTTGATTGCTTCAGCTGGATTTCCAGAGAAGAGGATTGGATATCTTGGTCTCATGTTGCTTCTAGACGAAAGACAAGAGGTGTTGATGTTGGTCACCAATTCATTAAAGCAGTATCCTGCATGTATACTTTTCTCAACCTTAATTCGTTTATATTTTCTTTTCCCTTTATCATTTCTGTTCCGGATGGATAAGTTTGCCCCTGATGCACTGGTATTACTAAGGGTAAAAATAAGAAAAGAAAAGATATACTTTACTTTGCAGGAACCTTAACTTATGTGCAGAGATCTCAGCCACTCAAACCAGTATATTATAGGGCTTGCTCTTTGTGCTCTGGGAAATATTAGTTCTGCAGAAATGGCCCGTGATCTTGCACCGGATGTAGAAAGATTGTTACAGTTTAGAGATCCAAATATCCGGAAGAAAGTAAGTGTGTCCTATCTTTATACAAGTGCCTGCTGGCTACAGATTCTGATTTCAGTGATATGCCTAGTAAAGGGGGTAAGGGAAGCCTATTCTAGGATTTGTGAGTTTCTTACACCAGAATAATCTGATTATCCCTCTTAGTAGATATCAACTTATCCATCTAGCTTCTTCTACTGGAATTGGAAATTTTTGTGCTGTTTTGTTGGACTCTTCTAGTATCATGTTTTTTTTTCTTTTATCTTTTCAACAGTGCCTTGTAATTTGTCAATAGAAAAGTTAAAATCACCACGTGAACCCATTATGAATGTACTGCATGTCTCATGACTGAGACCTGAGTTGTAACATGTAATTATTTTCCTACTTCATGAATGTGATATTTTATTTAATGATGTTCCTCGACCTTCGAGTGGCCTGCACTTTTATGAAATATGGATATTTTTTTGATCATTTATCTTATCTAGAAGATTTTACTGCATGTAATCACTCAAGGGAAAAAGGCAACATATGATAGACCTTGAGTCTGAACTCTTTCTTGTTTAATGATTTGCGGGAAATACATTTATTGCTTGATGCTAGCCTTTTTGTGAAGTCATTTTTATGACGTACTAAATTGGTTCATCTAAAATTACTCACATTTATGTTGTTGTATTGCTTTGATTAAGCAGGTTTCATACTGTTCTTTTTTCTCTCCCTCCTGTCAATTGGCCTTTTGTTTATGGATTCTCAGTATGCACCTAGGTTTTTGGTTTTCTAATTTCTTAGCACTCTGACTGCAATCTTTGACTAACTGTTCTCTGTAGGCAGCACTGTGCTCCATACGGATCATAAAGAAAGTTCCGGTCCTGGCTGAAAACTTTATGTATCCTGCTGCTTCACTACTTAAAGAAAAACATCATGGAGTCCTAGTAACTGGAGTTCAACTTTGTACAGATCTTTGCAAAGTCAATCTGAAGCCCTTGAATATTTTAGAGAGGTAATTGGTTATGGCTTTTTTAACATTTTTTCAGTTCAATGTAACTCTCTACCCAACAAGAGCTGTGACTATGAAAAGAAGCTGTAATGAGTAGAATTTCTTTTGAAAATTGATTTCCTCGCTTCCTGATAATATTATATTATTATTTTCTATACATGTTAAAAGATAATAGCTTCTTTTATCATCAATGCAGAACTGTATTGAAGGTTTGGTCAAAACTCTGAGGGATATCGCAAACAGTCCCTATTCACTTGAGTATGACGTTTCTGGCATTATAGATCCTTTCCTTCATATAAGATTGCTTCTGCTTCTGCGGTTATTGGGCCAGGGAGATGCTGATGCTAGTGACTGTATGATTGACGTATTAGCCCAGGTCAGTTCTGAACATGTGAAGCTTTTCTGGTGATCACCTCTTTTATTTGTAATATGTTATATCCCGAAAAAAGTGTCAAGTATAATGCGCATTACATATGTTGTTTACCTCACCAATTAGCAATTACATCACTTTTTTTTTTATTTTTTTTATTTGTCTTTCTTTTGCTGTATTTATGTGTTTGCCCATCATCTGTGGAACACCCAATTTTCTTCATAAAGTTCTTAAAATACATTTTAAAAGGAAAAAGTGTTTGCTTTCTTGAGAAGTGTCAGAGATTAGCTTCCTAAATAAAGAAGATTATGTAGGATCTTTGTAAATATATTCTACCAGTCTTGACATGGTATCAAAGCCTCTCCAGCTCTTCTTTTGGAGTCCAATTATCCTTACTTAAACAATCCTAATTAGCCTTTAAACTACCTTCAAAGAACCAAGTATCTACCCAACAAAAATATGGGTGACGAGGGTGATTCCAGTGGAGCTGAAACCATTCAAGGAGGCATAATAAGTGAAGGAAGTCACCTCAATTCTATTAGTGACTTACAAAATATACAAGCAGTATATAGATTGATTGGTAAGAACTATCTTAAGTGGTCTCAGCTAGTTCGAATGTTCCTAAAAGGAAGATGTAAACTCAATCATCTCATAGGAATTGGCCCTAAAGAAGTAGAACCTAAGTTTGAAGTTTGGGATGAGAAAGATCATTAGTTATGTCTTGGCTATGAAATTCAATGGTCCTTGAGATTAGTGAGACCTTTATGTTTCTTAGGACAACCAAGGAGATATGGGAGGCTGGGAAACAAACTTATTCAATGGTTCGAGATGCTGCCCATATATATGTAATCAATAGCAAGGTTTCATATACTAAACAAGGAAGCAAGTCAACTACAAATATTCTAACCTGATGCAAAATCTTTGGTAGGAAATCGATCATTATCAAAGCATTTAAATGAAATGCAGTGAAGATGCTGCTATCCCTAAAAGGTTTATTAGAAAGAAAGAATTTATGATTTTCTGGCTGGACCGAACATTGAGTTTGATGTAGTAAGTGTCCATATCCTAGGAAAAGAAGATTTGCCTTCACTGAACGAGACCTTTAATATCATTTGGGCTGAATAAGGAAGAAGCGGGTGATGGTAGTTGAAAATAGCCAAATAGATAGTTTAGCCTTGGTCACTAGGGCTGTAACTGAGGAACCAACACGCCTGGAACAATAGATTTTTTAAGGTAGATCAGGAGCAATAAGAACAATTAACAAAGATTCCTTATGATGTACTTACTGCAAGAAACCACACTACATTAAAGATAAATGTTGGAGGTTACATGGAAAGCCTCAATCAACAAGTAAGAATTTTACCAAGAGGGAGGGTTCATCAAGAGGGCAGACCAGAGCGTATACAACTAAAAAGTTGTTAAGGAGACTAAAGAACAATTTGCTGAGTTCAACAGGGAAGAAGTTGAAAAATTAAAGAGTCTACTAGAATCCTTGGAGAAACCTTCTTCTACAGGTACATGCAATTGGTCTTCTAAGGTATATCATCTTCATTTTCTCAGGATTCTAATGTCCTGAAACTATCCACCCACATACTTGCCCAAAATTCCAAGATAATTGACTCAGGAGCCACAAACCATATGACTAATTCCTTACTCATTCTTCACCTACACACCCTATCCTAATAGTAAGAAAATCATAGTTGCAGATGATAATATCATAACAGTTGCAGGTCAAGGAGATATGTCCATAAGTGAAACCCTTATTCTTAAAAATGTCCTATATGTACGAAAACTGTTTACCAGTCTCATATCTATCCAGAAACTTATCAAAGATACTAACTGTAGTTTATTGTTTTATCTTACACAATGTATTTTATACTAGCAAGAAATGAAGAGGATTATTGGGCGTGCTAGGGAAGTAAACAATCTATACTACCTTAAAGAACCCAGTGAACCAGTTAGAGACTTGGATACCCAACATCTGTCACTCTTGTCAGAATATATAGCCAATAAAGATCAAATCTGGCTAAACCATTTTCGCCTTGGTTATCCACCTTTTAGAGTTTTAAAGACTATGTTTCGTTCTTTGTTTAATTCCTTAAGCATTGAAAAATTTCATTGTGAAGCGTGTGAACTTGCAAAACATAAATGTACCTTTTTCCTAGCAAGCAATAAAAACTACTAGCCTATTTACTCTTATTCATAGCAATGATTGGGGGCCTTCCACCATTCCTAACATAATTAGGGCTAGATGGTTTGTGTTATTTATTGATGATTGTACTCGGGTTATTTGGATTTTCTCCTAAAACAAAAGTCAGATGTTACCCTTACTTTTAAAAACTTCTACACTATGATTAAAACCCAATTTAGAACTGAAATAAAAAGATTCAGATCAAACAATGCCAAAGACAACTTTAACCAAGTCTTATCTTCTTACTTTTTAGAGAAAAATATTATCCATGAATCATCTTTTGTTAACACTCCACTGTAGAATGACGTAGCTGAAACGAAGAATGGCTACATCCTTTCCACTACAAGAGCTTTTTTTATTTTAAAGCAACTAGGGAGAGGCTGTTTTAACTGCTACCTATAGGATAAATAGACTACCCACTAAAGTCCTTAAATCCTAGAATCCTCTTTAGGTCCTTACAAAATTCTATCCATAGTTTAGTCCATCGCTTAACCTAAAACCTAGAATATTTGGGTGTGTTACTTTTTTCATATACATTCTCAGGGAAAGGGAAAACTTGATCCAAGGGAACTAAAATGCATATTTATTGGTTACTTCACTAAAAAGGGATATAAATGCTATCACCCACCTATAAGAAAATACTACACTTTTGTTGATGTACCTTCGTTGAAAAATAGAGTTATTTAATTGTTCTTTATCTTTAGGGGATATATCATTTAAGGAATATAAAGATGCTAATTTTTTCTTACTTTAATCCCTTATTGATTTCTCTAAACCTATGCATTATGCCCAAATACAACAAACACAGTCTACTCAGCCGACTACTTCTCCACAACTAGAACCCAATAAACCACAACCAGCTATCCAGGACATTACTCGTCCTCTATTGTCTATTCAAGGAAGAAGACACCTATGCAGATTCAATCATCCCCTTCTCCTGCTCTTGTACAATCTGAGGTACACTCTGAAACTCTTCTTGATCAAACTACTGAAAATGTTGTCTAATTCTAATTTTGAATTTCCTATTGATATTAGAAAATGAAAAAGAACATGTACCACTAAACATCCTTCTTACTTGTTCACGACTTACAAAAATCTATCTCATGGTCACAAAGCTTTCCTTACCATCTTAAACACCATTACCATTCCTAAGACTGTTTTCGAGGCATTAGAGAATGAGAACTGGAAAAAGGCTATGAAAGATGAAATGGAAGCTCTTGAAAAGAATAAAACCTAAGACTTAGTGAAACTGCCAAAAAAGAAGAAAATAGTGGGATATAGATGGGTGTTTATAGTTAAGTATAAATTAGATGGCTTCTTAGAAAGGTACAAAGTAAGGTTGGTGGCAAAGGGATATTCTCAAAGCTATGGAATATATTACCTTGAAACTTTTACCCCTGTTGCAAATATGAGTACAATTAGAATTCTACTGTCACTAGCAGCTAATCAAGGATGGAATTTGCAATAGTTTGACATTAAGAATGTATTCTACATGAAAATCTTGAAGAGGAAGTGTACGTGGATATATCACCTGGATATGAACCAAGTACTGGACAAGCAATTTGTAAGTTTAAAAGAGGCTCTATATGGACTAAATTAGTCTCCTAGAGCTTGGTTTGGAAGGTTTGCAAAAGTGATACTAAGACAATGATTTAAACAGAGCCAAGGTGACCATACTTTATTTTTGAAACACTCTTCTTCAAGGGGAGTGACTGCACTCTTGGTGTATGTAGATGACATAATTGTCATAGAAAATAATCTTGAAGGAATTTGTAGTTTAAAGAAGTGTCTGATAAAGGAGTTTGAAGTTAAGAAACTTAGAAGATTAAAATATTTTATTGGAATTGAAGTGGAACATTCACAACAGGAGATTTTTATGTCTCAACAAAAATATACTTTGGACTTGTTGAAGGAGACTGGAAAACTAGGATGTAAGCCAACAGAAACACCAATAGAGGTCAATCATAAGGTTGGAGATTCAAAAAAAGATAATGTAGAAATTGATAGAAGTTCATTTTAGAGACTTTTGGGAAGGCTTATTTATTTGTCACACACTAAACCAGACATAGCATATGTTGTTGGAATTGTGAGCCAATTTATGCACAATCCTAAGGAATCACATCTAAAGGCTGTGACTCATATTTTGCAGTACTTAAAAGGGACACAAGGCAAATGAATTTTGTTTAAAAGAAAGGGAAATTTGACTCTAGAAGCATACACTAATGTAGACTATGCTGGATCCATAGTTGATGTAAGATCAACCTCTAGGTACTGTACTTCCCTTGGAGGAGAAAAAAATAGAATGTTGTGGTTAGATCAAGTGCAGAGGATGAGTTTTGAGCTATGACTTTGGGAATTTGTGAGCTAGTATGGTTGAAGATCATATTAGAAGATTTGAAAGTCAAAAA